TTTCATTCATTTGACCTTTTTCCTTTACGCCTGTTACTCCCAATGGAGCATAGGCCGCCGACCAGCTTTCTCCAAATGAATGATTTTTTCTGGTTAGCGTTTTTTTAGCGAGTTGATTTTCTACGGGATGGGGTCGCTAACACCATGCCCAACTCTCCTCCTTTACCCGGGCTTGGGACCGGCAGTAACCCCCAGAGAAGCTACAGGCGGAGTTATTCATTTGACCTAAGCAGCTTAATTTCTCGATTTACCACTCTTGAGTTCTTTCTGGTCTTTCAATCACTATCACCCAGATTCACAGCTATTTTTGGCTAAATCTTCTACAAATGTTATTTCCTATTTTATGGTACGATGTGGTCTGTTTGGTTTGTATACAAACCCAGTGCGTTTGAAATACATGATTTATATCACGGAGGCTGCTATTGGTGTTCTGGACTCAACAGACAGGAAAGGCTAGGCGGGGAGAAGGATTAATAAGGACTGTAGACTACTCGGACGGGTTTTATGCGTCATTGGTCCGGTCTATCAGTCACTGTTCTCTGTTTGGTGGTATCATTAAGTTATATATTAATAGAGCATAAGGCCACAAGTTATAACAACAATCGATATATAAACAAGTGTTTAGAGAGATTAAGTGGTTATTGATAATGTGTATGTTATAAAATCGATCTATAAATCTACTCTTATTATTCCTTAACTCCACTTGTGTTGATACAGAATAGGAGAACGAATCTAACAGTTGAATTCAAAATATTCGTCTTGTCCCATTTGAGACTCTTCAACTAGATGTACTTGCATCCCACAGTTGATATTCAGTCCAGGAATATATCCAATCTATATCGAGATAATCCACATAAAATGCACATAGTCAATCAGGACAGATTAAATTTCGGTCAAAAATATCGGCAACCAAATAACTCAAATCTTTTCAGCTTGAATTCACTCGAGTTGTCTGTATAAGTAAATAATTAATTGAAATAAAAGCTATAAGAATGGCTTGTTGGCAAACTCAAGGAAGCCTCAAGAGGCCCAGAAAGAGACGAAGAGATGTCATTTGGTTGCTGCTGAAGGAACATTCTGGAATGTCGACGTGTAGCTTCCGTATTGAATGAGTAAGAAAGACCACCTATGTGCGTATTGGCTGTCCAAAATGATGATTTCCTTTCAGCCAAAAAAAACTATAAATACATGAGATTTTTATACTATATTTGACACTGTTTTGGGAAATAACATTTCTACTTACTAGTTTTCTGTCTTCTCTCTTGCGACATTGCGGGTTCGATCGTTCAATTAGTTTAGTAGTAAGCGCCATAGCAAGAATCTAAGATTCTAGATATAACAAAGCATTGTGTTGAAGCTTTTCCAGGGTAATCCTTTGTCTTCTTCTTCTTCTTCTTCACGTAACAATATCATCTGAGGATCGAAATAACTTTTCATATTTTGATTCAAGAATTGAATCATAAAATCAATTTTTTTGGCTCAAGAACAAAACTTTGTTTTCTTTCAATTCACTTTTATCCTTAATAAAGGGTACTATAGAACTAGGGATTGTCTAAAAAAACAAACTATGATGTATACAATTACTTTCATGCTGTGATATGCTGGTATACAACTGAGAATATACTTCGTTCCTCTAATCAATAGTTGATACCAAATCTAACGAATAATTTGATATTGAATTAATGATTTCGGCCATTTCATTATAATTTCATCAGTAGATATATTTAATTTATCGATTATTTAAACGGCTGAGAGTGGTGATAGTCCGCTTTCCCTCTTGAAATACTCTCACATAGTCACGTGTATATAGCCTCTGTCAGAGAAGTCTTACTCATTGCCTTCTCACACCACGGGTGTTGTTTACGTCCTAGTATGAGACTCCTCAGCACTGTCTATCTACGATCGCGCTCGCTGGATTCGAATCCAGAACCCTTGGTATCTCGCTCGAGATCTCGAACTCTAGACCAATTAGTCGGAAGTCAGCGGTGTTATTGTCTAACTTAAACTAATCCACGATATTGCTCCACAGTGTTGTTCACGAAATCAAGAGGATGAAAAGCGAATGTTCGACGCTGTAACCGGGTTGGTGGACAGAGAAAGACCATCTAGAAGAGTTGGAAAACCCTGATTCAAACCAATGGTGCACATGAGCTCCAGTATCCTGAAGGAAAAAATGGTGTATGAATCAATCTTTGGTCACCGGGAATGCATCTCCTCACGATGGTCCGCTCCCTTATGTATCAGTCTTTTAAGTCAAAGGCTCCGGGTGTAGCCTCCTAAGAAAACCACCTGCTTCAGTTTGGGCACCCGGGTTGTATCACAGACCTCACACAAATCAAATGAGATTTGTGAGGCGCATATATATCTGGTGCCCCTTTGTTCCAATATATATGTGTTTAAATAAATAAATAAAGTAATTCCATATGAAGATTATTGAAATGACGAACTGACTTCAGTCAAACAATCAATGAACTGATCATTGTATTGATTACTGATTGGAGCACAAAATCACATTTATATAGTATTGATCAAATTCCTTCGATCACAGTATGGATAATAATTTAAGTGGTTCGACATTGCATGCACTGTGTTTAAATTTTAGGTAGTTGAAAGTTAGTTGGCAAGAAACGCTGATAATCTTAAGTTTACTACTAACTAGTGTCCATCAATATGACTTACTTACAATCCTAAGAGGACAGATGATTTTTGTGGAGTTCCAATCAGAGTCACTCAGCTCTAAGTCTGAGATTTAAGCCACGATTGACCTCATGTCGAACTGAGGTATTTGGAATTTACTAATGCCTGAGAAATTTGTTCCTGACGAGTGTTAACCAGCATGAAACTTATGTTCAACTACTTTCAATCACCTTGTATTACCTTTTGTCTTTTCTTAAATACAATATTCAGCAATGAGTATATTCGTCACCCTTCAAGGATAATAAAGCATTGAGCCTCACCAGTTACTTGGAGATGATTTAGTCAAAATCTGTTGTTTCATATTTTCAACTTTAAATTAATTTATGACATTGTGTTACCATCATCCATTACTGCTACTGATAACTGTCTCATTCATAAACCTACTCAATCACAACTTCTCAATAAAACCTTAGAAATTTTATTTAAAGTGAGACAAAATGGAGCAAATGAGTTTTTGTCAAGATGAGAGAAAGTAATCAACTACTTGCTTATCATCTGACACATAACACAAGTTTCGGGTATGAGACATTTATTCTCCATTGGAAATAGGAGATAATTGGACCATATGATAAATTGACTGAAGTTCAACATACATACCATTAAATCTTTAATCACAAATTTAGAGTTTAATCACTCGCGTTGAGTCTGACGGTCTTGTGAGCAACTACATGGTAGAACGAAACAACTGTCTAGTGTTTACTAGTTTTCAATGATTGTCTAACAAAGAGGTCAATACATGAAATAACCTATGAAACCTTTATATCCAATTACTTGTTAAATAATAATTTCGTCATTTTGATTTTCACTCTTTTTAACACATTATCAAATACACTTGGTATTGTTTGTTTGAATGTTTTCATTGATGTTTAGTACTGCAACTGATCAGTCTGTCTCTTATTGGCAAATGTGCATACTGTGCTTATTGCCTCGATATAGCCTTAATTCATAAGCATGATAAGCAAAGATGGATAGGGATTGGTAGTAACATCCAAGAAGAGCGCCACTTCGTCCTATTTGGGACTCATCAGTTGAATGTACCTGTATCTCAGAGTTGATATTCACTCTGGGACTAGAACCAAGTACTTCACCCCATTGCATAAGCAGTTGGCTATCAGGACTCAGTAGCCAAACGGCATTTGATGTGAATGGTACTGGATTCGAGTCCCAGAGTGAACATCAACTCTAAGATGCAGGTACATTCAGCTGACGAGTTCAAAATAGGACGAAACGACCGTCACACTAGATTCTACTACTAGTCACTATGCATCTTTAACTTATTATTAAATATCAGAAGGGGTTTTCTGGAGATTTTAGTAATTTTAAAGGGTTGAGATCATGAGTCAATTGAAGCTTGACCACCATGGAAAACCTGGAAGCAGTGGATGGCCGTTTCGTCATATGCTCACTAATGACTGGCTCCATGAGTTATTTCTTGGAGTTCTAGTTGGAAGCAGTGACCAGTGGAGTTCAACCAAGTCTGTTGTAGAGATATCAACTCACTGAAGACAATTGGTGAACGGTTGCTCAAACTTCGTGGATTGGTTAAAGTTAGACATTAACACTGTTGGGTGCCGACTCAGTGGTCTATCGTTTAAGTGCTCGCCCGCGACACTGGTAGGTCCTGAGTTCGAATCTCGTGAGTACGGGATCGTGGGTGCGCACTAATGAGGAGTCCCACAATATGACGAAACGGTCGTCCAATGCTTCTAGGTTTTCAATAGTGGTCTAACTTCAATTGACTCATGCTCTCAACTCTATAAAATTACTCAAATGTCCACCAACCCCCTTCGAAAATGAGAATCATTAAATAGAAGTGAAATAAAGAAAACATAAACAAATAAACTTCAAACATAAGTATCTATTTGCACCGAATCACTTCATTTAGTACAAACTTTAGAAAGCATAATAAGATTCTATACCCTATCTATCACAACCTAATATATCATTGAGTAAACAAACAAATAACCTCAAATAGACAAATAAACAAACAAACAACCTAAGAGATCATAATCATAATCATTATGATTAAGAATAAACAACTTCTAATGAACTAATAATGCACCACTGATAAATAAATTTATGGGGTAACTGTGTTGTTTATCTCTCTCTGTCTCTATACATATACGAATAGATGAATGTAATTCGATTGGTTCATTTGGCACTCATCATTAATGAGAATCAATTTTTTTGTTTTTTTTGTTTGTTTGTAAAAAAAAAGAAAAAAATTTATTTATTTATTTATTTATTTATTTATTTATTTATGTAAAATAGTGACATGAATTTTTTTTGTGGATTAGAAAGTTGTTCAAAGTTCAATTTTGTTTCCCCCCCCCCTCTTTCATTCATTCATTGTCTTGGTTTAAATCATAAATTATTCTTCTGTGTAAAGTAGTAATACCTTAGTTACAAATGATGTGTACACTCATAGATTTTTATTCATGTATGGTTCGAATCCGATCAAATCAATCATCTATTTTTAAATATTGAATAAACATACTACTGATTTGAACAAATAGTTGTATATACATATCTCAGAGGCTACATATATATACATATATGCCGATCATGTCGTTAAAACATGTATCTCCAAGAGGCAAACACCAGCAACACCAGCAACATCAGCAACAACAACAAGCAAATGGTATCTCATCTGAAAGAGATTATAATTATCATATTAAACATTCTTATGATCTATATAACAATACTACTACTACTACTACTCATAATTATAATACTACTTATTATCTTATTGATAAACCATATAAAAATTATAAATCTAAATATAACAATGTGTATTTATCGCATAATAAACTATTCGATGTAACAAATGATAGAAGGAATCATCAATTCTTAAAGCAACATACATCTAAAATGGATACTAATAATAGTAATAATAGTACTACTTTAGATACCTCTTCAATCCCATCGAAACTACGTTCAATACACCATTATGGTACGAGTACTTCATCAGTCAATACTTGTACTACTACTACTACTACTACTACTACTACTACTACTAACACTACTATTAATACTAATACTACTACTTCTAATAATAGTAATATGAGTAAAGAATCATTTGAAAATTCAAATATCAAAAATCGATATTCTAAATTAATTCATTGCCAATCACCTATTATACATGTACGGAATAGTAACAATCATATAAGTAACCATGGTAACAATACTAATAATAGTACTATTAATTATAATCGATTAAATGATGGATTTAATTATCTTAAACATATTCATAAATCTAAAAAATATTTAAATAATCATCAATATTTAATCAATAATTCATATGATGATGTAATTAGTTTAAATAAATTAACTGATTATAATCATTATTTATTATCGGTAAGTTAATGATAATGATTATCATTGATATCACTTACTTGCTTAAGCTTGGTACTCTCGATGGAGCATAGGCCGCCGACTAGCATTCTCTAACCCACTCACTCTGTCCTAGGCCTTCCTTTCTAGTCCTATCTAGTAGATGTTCATTATTCTCATATCTGTCTCTATTTCTCGGTGTAATGTATTCTTTGGTACTCCACTTTTCTTTTGGCCTTAAGGATTCCATATGAGGGCTTGCCTTGTGACGCAATTAGGTGTTTTCCTCAATGTGTGTCCTATCAACTTCCAGAGCTTCTTCCTGATTTCTTCATCCACTAAAATCTGGTTTGTTCTCTCCCACAGTAACTTGTTGCTGATAGTGTCTGTCCAACGGATCCGAAGTATCTTGCGTAGACAATTGTTCATAAACACTTGTATCTTCTGGATGATGGCTTTCGCAGTTCTCCACGTCTCCGCCCCCATGCTGTTCTTGCTTTGCCAATCCTTCCCTTTACATCTGCATCCAATCCTACATGTTTATCAATGATGCTTCCTAGGTACGTGAATGTTTCCACATCTTTCAGAGTTCCTCCATCAAGTGTGATTGGGTTGGCGTTCTCCGTGTTGTATTTGAGAATATTGCTTTTTTTTGTGTATGTGGAGGCCTATTGATGCAGAGACTGCCTCTACATTTGCTGTCTTCGTCTGTATTTTTTCGTGTGTATGAGAGAGGAGGGCTAGGTCATCTGCGAAGTCCGAATCATCTAATTGATTCTGAGAAGTCCATTGTATTCCGTATTTCCCTCCAGATGTCGAATTCTTCATAATCCAGTCAATCACTAGAAGGAAGAGGAATGGGGAGAGTAGTTAGCCTTGTCTGACTCCAGTCCTTACTGGAAATGCATCTGTCAGCTGTCCTCCATGCACCACTTTGCACTGTAGTCCATCGTATGAGTTCTGGGTAACGTTGACAATCTTCGCAGGAACTCCATAGTGTCGAGTAAGTTTCCATAATGTTCTCCAGTCCACACTATCAAACGCCTTCTCATAGTCAATAAAGTTGACGTATAGTGATGAGTTCCACTCAACTGATTGTTCGAAGATGATCCGTAGTGTCGCAATTTGGTCTGTACACAAATCATCCTTACGGAATCCATCCGGTTGATCTCGAAGTCGAGTGTCCACTGTGGTGTTTATCCAATGCTACCAGCAAATTTCCTAATCATTTACAAGGTTACTGCTGAATCTCAAAGTGTGATTTTTGGCAGTGATTTACTATCAAACGTTCTTCCTTTCCTGTAAATATCTACTATGAACATATATACCATAGAACAACCGAACGGATAAAAATATACAAATAAAATAACTGTTAGGATAACTACAGCTCTATAATCCACTTAGAATGTCATTCTGTTCAGTGTTCAATGTGCTGAAATTATGAATTGCCTACAGGGTCAAAAAGGAAAACAAGTTACACATTCACATCTTTGAAAACAGAAACTTTTCAAAAAGCTGTCATTATACAGATTCGGCTAAACTTCTATTGACGAATATTGAATCTCGTTCCCCGTTCATAAATAGAGCAGAAGTTTTACGCCTCAACGTACTACTACTACTACTACTACTACTACTACTACTACTACTTATCAGTTGATGAGGTCATGAGTCTTCATTGACTGAGATGGTTAGGCCACGTGTTACGTATGCCTGAACACCGATTGCCACGATGCGCTGTGCTGACTAGTGTAGGGGATGGTTGGAAAGGAGTTAGGGGTGGCCAAACCAAAACGTGGCATCAGAGCTTGAAGTCACTAACTTCTAGTCTGAGCCATGTTCGTGGTAGATGCAGACTACTTGATTGGAGTCCGCGTGACTATCGTAACCAATGATTGTAGACTCTGTGTGATATGGTTCAGAATCGATCACAATGGCGTAGATGTATACACTTTCTGTCTTCCCTTAAACTTTGGTATTAAAATTGCTTCATATCTTTTATTCTTTTTGTACATCTTTTTTATATATTACCACCATTAACTTAACTACTTCTATGAATTCGGTGTTCATCTTGTCGTACTAACGAGGTAAGTCAACTTGAACCGACGCATATATGTGCCTGATCCTACGTTGTAGCTGACTGACTGACTACTACTACAATGAAAAAAGGCTTGGTGAGATGAGACAACTTAGCGTTTGATGCAGCGCTAATCAGTGGCTTTGTTAAATAAGGGAATTATACATCAAAGACATCGTTCATTTATTCTTGACACACTCCATTCTTCATCTAATCCTGTTATTATTTCAATTTCTCTATGTTTTTTTTTCTTACTCTTCACTTTATTTCAATCTCCTACTGGTAAACATTCCACTTTCATTTCCTGTTACATACTACTTATGTCTGTTCCTATAAGTAGTATACTCGAGAATACTATTTTTCTAATACTGCTACTTACCCATACTACTCCTACCTTAATATAAAAATTTAATTGATTTGTTTCTATATGATAAGAGTTATTTATTCAATCAATGATATAGTAACTATGGTATAGTTGATTCAAAAGTGAAACTATCAGTTAACAGATCAAAAAAAATATTGATTTTCTGTGATTATGTTTTACGGTGAATCGAATTTGTATTTGCATGTATGTTTATCACAATTACTTCTAGTTAGTTACTTTCATGCATACCTTGAGTCTTGTATTAACTCTAATACATAGGGATATCGAGGTATTACAACATTGACCGACATATATACGTGTCTGGTCGTAGTTGATTGACTGACAGCGGAATTTTATACAAGCATACAGTCATTACTGGCTAATGATGATGACAGAAAAGAACGTTGCAATAATTAGGCACATTATTGTAATTTTGTAGATAAAAGAATTGATTCATTTTAATTATGTGTATAATAACTCGTATTTATATTAAGTGAATGATTTATGCATTTGATCACCCATGCAAGTACTGATCGGGCTCAACGTTGCTTAACTGCGGTGATCGGACGAGAATCGGGGCTTTCAATGTGGTATGGTCGCCGGTGCATTTGATGTTAATACATGATATACTGAATAAATACCCGAAATGATTCTTTATGTGTGATTGGGGGAAACGTGGGGAGAAATTCGGGTAATTAATAGGTTATGTTGACTTCTATTGATGTAAACAACGTGTTGAAGGGAGTGGTTTCATTCAATTAGATGATATTTTTAATTCAGGCTTGGAAATATTGGAAAAGAGATTCTAGGCTAGAAGAGCTGTCGATCTATTGTGTTGATGAAAAGATAAAATATAAAACATTTATTGTGCTTTTTAACTTTTAATTCAAAAGATCACTAATTAAATAAATTTATGAAAATCGTCTATGCAAACAATTCCGGAAATCGAAGACGCGCGTTTCAATCTATTTGGAACTCGTGAGCTGAATGTACCTGCATCTCACAGTTAATGTTCACTTTGGGACTCAAGCACAGTACTATTCTCTTCAAACGCCATCGAGTTATCCACTCAGCTACTGAGTCCTGATATAGCTTTAATTCGCAAGCATTGTAAGCAAAAATGGATAGTGGTTAGCAGTGGAATCCAGGACGCGATATATCGAGGCAATACGCACAGTATGCGCATATGCTAATTAGAGACTAATCAGTTGCAGTCCTGAACATCAATAGGACGATTCAAACAAACGATACCAAGTGAATAACTGATTGTATTTTCATTCTAGTGAATATGTTCACACTTGGACTCGAACCCACATTCCTGAATGAATAAAAAGTAATGTATATCTTGAATTCCTTTGCTAGCCGCTAATGATTTTGAATGGTTGTTTTTTCACATTGTGAAGTAATATACCCTCCTCTTCAAATCAGTAAAATAATAGATTTCAGATATTGGAACCTTATGTCAGTGGCCTCCTTAGGGGAATTTACTGAATACAAACTAAGATAGTACTGTGGAACAAATCAAGCATTCTTTCGTACAATCACGCTAATGTCATATCAGTCAGATCAATTATGTGAGAATATATATGTATGTACCCATATGTATGCCTGGATATGATCAAAATGAGACATTCGTACTGTGGAAGAACGGATCTCATTTGTTTTACCAATAATCATAGGACATGTAAATGGAATCAAATATCAGTATGAGGTTGTCGAGATTGTTCAATTTTTATTATGATTACAAAACGATCCAAATTAAACAACTATTGAAAACATGAATACTAGTGTGGGACTTTTCAGTATTATACACCTACGACTTTGCAGAGGGGAATGGAGCCCAGAACTTTTAATCTCAAGCGTGAATCCTTAATCTGTAGACCGCTGGACTGATATCCAATGGTAAACAAGTCTATCTTTAATTAATACACGATACCGTTTAATCATCCTCAATTATCGTTGGTGTGTACCTCCGTTACACTTGATACGGTTGGACTTCACTAATCATAGCTTCTTCATAGAGATCTAGAAATTTCCTCTCGAAATTGGTCACTACTGAGCACACGATAATTATCAGTATGACATTGTGGAGATTTTTTTGTTTGGACAACTAGTTCAAGTTAGTTGGTTAGTTTAGCCCTACCTTTTACCAGGTTTAGTTAAGTGTAACAACATATGGTATTCTTGTAGCCATCTCACGGTTACTGGTAATATACATATAATGCATTTTGTCGTTATACACTTTCGGTATATCGGGAAAACTTTATTGTTTGTACTTGTCGAATAACTTAGAGTTTGAGTAAACTTTCATTATTTGCACTAGGTGGTTTATTCGTGAAGCTTTTTATCATCCCTTCGGACGACATCATTACGAAGAAGTGAGCTATCCGAATTTTACCATGTATGACTGGCATCTTGTTCTGTTGATCTTTCTTTTGCTTAGATGTTGTTTACCATTGTCCAGACATCGTTTGCATGGTTACTTTATTTGTTAACCCCTTTTGAACTGGGTTTTCTAACAGGTTGTTATGTTGGATCGATTTTGGTCTGTTGATTGATCTGAGTGCAAAGTCCTTAGAAATAATC